CTTTCCCGGGCTGTTGGATGGTTCAAGGAACTGAACTGCTGCGTATTTTCAAACAACAAAACAACACCCCCCTCGTACAACGACAACAACAACAAAACAAACTCAGTACCTACAATAAATATTTTCAAAATTTCATCAGTTTCTATTTTCAAGGAGATTCCAAAGTGATTGATGATTTTTGTCTTCAGTGCAAGACAAATCTTTCTCTGCTTGTACTAACCAGTGATTTTATGTTCTGCAGTAATTCAAATGGTTACCTACAGCTGCCTTCAGTTTGTTGTACTGGCAGTTACAGTGGCTTTTATTTATCAAGGAATATTGTTGATTTTTTAATTTATTTCTTTAAAAATGTGGCAGTAATGAATTCTAGTGATTAAAGTTTTGAGATATTTCAGTGAATAGCTGTTAAGATACTTCTCATTTAATTATGAGTATTTTACTTAAAGATATTCAGCTTTAGTAAGTCTCTGTATGTATAAGGACAGTTATTTCTTTTCACCAAAGTATGATGCAAACCAGCTGAACCACAGAACTCACTGTAGACTTCTATTCTTCAAATGCTTGCCATTTGAAAACAGAGAGGAGAGCATTCAGTGCTGGTTTTACTGCTCTTGTTCATTCTGTGCATTCAGAGTTGAGGAGAACAAAGTAGTGTAGGGGACTTGCAGGGCTGGAGAAGAGGAGGAAGGCCTAGAGGAAGCTCCACTATCTTTTATTTTTTGTTGTCTCTGTGATTTATGTAAGGTCATGGCAGCTTCTGGATTAAAGCAGAACTGCTGAGGAGCAAAAAGCTGCGATCTGACCCCTGACTACCCCAACCTCAGTTCTTGGATGCAGGGCAGAGTCATGTATTTTTAAAATGCTTCTCCTTTTTTGTTTTATGTCAGTTGAGTAATAAAAGAATAGGGGCAGATATCTACTGTCAGACTTAACTGAGGCTTTGTGAGAAGAATTTCATATTCTGTTTGCCTCCTCTTCTCAAAACCAGCATCCACTGCTGCTATTCCAGAAGGTTTCAGCAGGAGAGTTTGGGAGAGCTGTGTTGTACCTGCTGAGGAAATCACTCCTGGCCTCTGGGCAAGACTTTCTGCTCCTTGGATCTATTCTTTGCATACATTGCATGTTATAGTTTAATTATAAGTTCTGGACTTGTTGCTGTAGCAAGGGAAACACTAACCCTTTGTTCTGCTCCGACAAAGAAAATGCAAAACAATTTACAGCGCTTCGGAGTAATTAAATACTCATTATGGTGCTAACAGTTCGAGCAGATTGGCACCACGTGTCTTTTTTTTAAACAGGACCGGCAGGGATAATTGTGTTGAGGCTATCAATTTGCTCTTTACTTTCTGTGGCACTCTTTACAAAAGTAACAGGCCAAGATTTCTGAATGGGTAAAGGAGGTGTCTCCAAGAAACTGGGGCAGAGAAGAGCAACAAGGCTGGGGAAGGGACTTGAACACAAGTTCTATGAGGAGAGGCTGAGGGAGCTGGGGTTGTTCAGCCTGGAGAAGAGGAGGCTCAGGGGAGACCTCCTCACTCTCTACAACTCCCTGACAGGAGGGGGGAGCCAGGGGGGGTTGGTCTCTTTTCCCGGGCAACCATCAGCAAGACAAGAGGGCTGGGTCTGCAGCTCTGCCAGGGGAGGGTTAGGTTGGATATTAGGAAGAAATTCTTTCCGGAGAGAGTAATCAGCCATTGGAATGGGCTGCCCAGGGAAGTGGTGCATTCTCTGTTCCTGGAGGTTTTTAAGAGGAGACTGGATGTGGCATCAGTGCCATGGGCTGGGAACCACGGTGGTAGTGGATCAAGGGTTGGACTTGATGATCCCAGAGGTCTTTTCCAACCCAGCTGATTCTGTGATTCTGTGATTCTATGATCTTTGTCTCAAGCCTTCAGTGAAAATTTTGTTCTTAAAGGCAGAGATGTCTTTTGGTGTGTGAAACACTTTATTCATGAGAGAGAGAGTAATGACATTTATTTATGAGGAAGTTGTTGTGCAGTCAGGGAAGGACAGGGTAAGAATTGAAAGGACTGGCTGCTGAACTGGGTTACTTTAACAGCTGGATGTGGAATATGGTGCAAGTTTAAACTCATTCTGCAAGTTCTGCTGCTGGGGGGTTGTCCTGTCACAAAGTTCACCCCTACATGGTGTGACAGAGTCTTCTGCAGAGGATCCAGGCTGTTTGAACAGCAGCACAGCAATATCCATGGAATTTGTGCTTCAAGCAAGTAACCCCTGGTGCTGTTTAGCCCAGGCAGAGCTGTGCTAACTTGGTTCTACAACCATTAGATCAATAATCCTCCAAATTCGTCCTTAGCACTGATTTCTTTTACTTACAGCAATCTGACATGTGTTCACACCTCCTTATTCTGGAATATAAACTCTACTCATGTTTAGGTGCACACATATATAAACATAACCCAAAAAGCCATAAAAAACCTGGTTTGATTAAAACATGAGGAAGTTTGATTGTTGTTCTTTTACAGTGACAATAAAGCTAAATGACAAAGGTTTCTGTTTCACAATTTTGTTTTGGTTTTCTTTTTCATTATATTTTTTATAAGGTAGTATGTGACTTCAAAATGAGAATTAGAAACTTTTTAAGCAAAGCAAGAATTAAAATTCTTTAGGATGCCCCTGTCTGTTTTATGAGTTTCTCTTGCTTAATCTGTTTGTAAACTTCAAGCTGAATTTGTGTCAGTATCTTTCCAACCTGCATCTATAGTCATATATTAATATGACTATGTATTAATATCTTTTATTAAGTTGAATAATAAAAGAATACGGACAGATATTAGAGTTATCTAGTGTCAGAATTTTCTTATCATATTATGCCACTTTTACTTATCATATTATGCCACTTTTTGTCTTGATTCTCTTGCAAGTAACACCCTATTCCAGGTGAGCTTAGAATTCCAGGACTTCTTTTACTTTTTGAATGGGAATTTGTAGAGAGGGTGGACTTAATCCTAAGTAAAATTCCATATGATATCATCTGTCAAACATCTTAGAAGATCTTGAATGTTCAAGTATCTCTTTCATCAGCCTTTCTGTATAATTATGACTCTATGATGTTATTTTCAATTCTAGCAAATACAAAATATGCTTCCTCTTCTTGATTAAAATCCATCCTTCATTAAAAGCTACTTCTCTTCATTTTTGCCTGAATTTTGATGACAGTACTTCAGGTTCTTTGCAGGTCTTGGCTGGCTGAGGGTGTTCTATGCTAGAACACTTCTCTTCCCAATTAGATGGTGGCAGAAGCTTTGAAGAATAAAGCTATTTATTGGATGAGGAGGAAATATGGATGAGGTGACAATAATTTTACATTTAAGCAGATAACACTTTCTAGTGGAAAAAATATTTTATATTAACATTTTATTTTATATTTTATATGCCTGGGACAATAATGAGTCAAATACCAAAGGAAGAACTCTTCCATATGGATAACTGTAGGCTGGACCTTTTTAAACTTAACACTCACCTTTTATCCTAAATGTATTTTACTGCAATGAAATTATCTGTATTCCTGTATACACGTTACTTATAACACTGTGATTATTGTAGGGTTTTAAACTCTATCAGAGTAGCAGTGAAATTCAGTTAATTTGTTTTCACCCACATCATGGGAGGGAGATTAGTGCAAGTCTAAAGTCCCTGAGGTTGTACAGAGACCTTGTAACACGGATTCCAGAGAAAACCTTGCTCAGGATAATTTCTGTGAAGTTGAGTCTTGAAAACTTTTATGGGAATGTGTCTGTGTGTGCATCCGTTGCTTTAAGGTGTTTAAAAATATTTGGGTGTTTCCAAATCTCCAAGTGCATGGAATTTAAATCCATATCAATGTCACATACCAGTTAAATCTTATTTTTAATTGTTCTGGAAAATCCAGATTCCTCAAAAAATATTTTAATTATCTCTAGCATTTCTTTCGGGCTTGAAAATTGAAAAATCTCAGGTGAATTCATCAAATATTGAGTGTTATGGTGGTAAATTTTTGCTCTTGCTTATAACCTTTTCATCCATACAACCAGGACTACTCATGTTTTATTTACAGGCTGGTAAATAATTGACATTTTGTTTAATCTGAGTGTTCATTTCAAGTAAAAAAAAAAGGATTGTTCATACCCCAGAGAAGAACATAATTTTTACATAAGAAAATCACTCTCTCAAATAAAATGCTAGTCCAGATTTCTGCAAATTAGAATTTAATTCAGTTGATTTTTCAGTTCCCATAATATTCTTTAACACACCCAACCCCCCCAAACAGCCTCTTCACTCTCTCTCTTTACCTTATTTCCTAAGTTAGTAAATACTTTATCCCCACACAATGACCTGTGAGGAATGCTCATAAAACACAAAGATTTAGTTTCTTTAGAATTGACTGGCTAGTTTTTCAAATAATAAATGCAATACATATTTCTGCTAACCACTTTTCACAAAATAAGGGCTTGCTTTTGGAATATTAACATTTTAAGAGTTAGCATTTCCTAAATAAAATGCCTGGAAAACATCGTGATCTTTGACAGTTTTGAAAAGAAATATTTTAGTATTATAGTTCCAATTACAAAAGAAAATTAATGAAAGTAGGTGTTAAAAAGAAAGAATAAAGGTTATTTTTTTTTTCCTGGAAGACCAGTAAAACTGAAAAAAAACCCCATTTATTAACAAAGTGTTTTATTTTTGGCTCGCATATGGTGGCAATTATTTCAAGCAAATTTTTTTCTTTGACTTTATAAAAAAACTGTCTTAAAATCTTTTGTATCTTGTTGCTGGCCTGAAAAAGTTAAACTTTGTAAGCAGATACAAAATCCACCTGAAATATTCAGGTTTTTATCTCCTCTCTTCCTTTCCACCTCGACGTGGTGCATTTTCTTAGGCAATAACCAGGAGTCCTTGTTTGAAATTAATCTCGTTTTATCATGCTGGTTTTCTTTGAGATAATCATCTTTTCCTTTCTTTTTTTGTTGTCTTTTTTTCTTTTTTTTTCCCCTTGAAAGACGAAGGGTGTTGGCAATTTCTGATGGAATTGAGCACATCGGGAATCTGCGCTGGGAACTCGCCCTGTGCCTCCTCGCTGCTTGGACTATCTGCTATTTTTGCATTTGGAAAGGGACAAAGTCTACTGGAAAGGTGAGCTTCAAATCCTGAAAATTATATGTGATTCTTGTTCTCCAAACCTGTGTTGTCCTTCATAATTATTTAAATCAGTGGAATTCCAACTGTCCTTGGGGGTGTATAAATTGTAAAACTAATTGTAACCAGGAATCAGTCATATATTTTAGATTGTTTTGTTTCTCTTGCTTTCATGATTTGCCTTTTCCCTAATTCTGGCAGGTGAGGCTGGTTGGTTTGGTTCTGGTTTTAATTTAGCAGGTGGCACTGCTGGCCAGTCCTTGAAGCCTGAAATCAGCACTGGGCCGGGTTGGTTTCTGTGCACAACGTAAAGTTTGAGTTTTGCTTCGCACTGACAGGAGCTCAAACTCTCAGTCACACAAAAGGGTCACCGAGAGTTTCAACACAGAGGGAATTTAGAACACCAAAAGCAGAAATAATGAAAGCACTCAAAGGCAGATAAAGATGGACATGTTATGGGAAAAAAAGAGGAGTATTTAGTACTTTTTGAGCGAATGCCATTCAGTGCTGGACACCCAACAGAGAGACACTGGTTCCCAGCCTCAGCCAGTCATGGGATGATGGAGAGGGTGCCCCTGGAGTAGTATCAGACAGAGCTCTGAGTGGAATCTATGAATAATCAACTACATACACGAAAAGAGACACAGTTCTAGAGGGAGGATCTAAAAAAAGCCCTGGTTTCTCATGTGGTAACCAAAGGATAGAAGGAAAAGGCTTGGTGGATTGCAACACTTTGTACATTTAATTTTCAGTTGTGTGTTAGTTTGGAAGGTGTGGTTGGACTCTTTTTTTCATTTTGGTTTCAGTGGCCTACGTTTGTAAATTTGAAACTCTTTGAAATGTAGTGGTTTTTTAAATTTAGAAAACGTCAGAGAGAAACTTTTCAGCTTTGTCAACCACACACACATCTTTCATACCATCAGAATTTTGGCTGAAACTAATTGCTTGGTTCTGTCTGTGTTTGCCAACTGTGTCAGTCAATCTGGTGCCGCGTTTTGCGCACACAGATTTCTGCAGCCCACTTTTATCAAGTCACTGCAGGAAAAACGCTGAGAAAGACTGTCTAGGGGTATGTATGAGCATGAATAGTTTAGAGGAGAGAGGGGGAAAGATCCTAAAGAGAGGAATACAGAGAAGCAAAAGTGATATAAGTGAATGACAAGATAAATGCCCGCACGTCTTTGATGTGTGGGCTCTGGGGAGGGACAGAAGTGCTTGGGACTTGTCTGAGGAGCTGCAGCCTGGCAGGGAAGAAATAAAACTGAGCAAAACCGATTTTTTTTTTTTTCCCATCAGAAAGAATGTCTGAAGATGGGAGGTCTATTCTACCATAGTATAATGTGACCCAGGGGTGCAGAGGACAACGTGGCGTGTGGCTGCACACGCGTGCACGCACGCAAGGCCGGGCAGGGCTGCTCTGGGCTCCAAACAGGAGCACAGGGAGAGCTCCTTTGCTGGTAGGAAGAGGCTGTGGGGATTTTAAAAAAAAGATATATTTTACATTTCTGCGGTTTGCTTTCCTAATTTTATCATTGAGGCATGAGATTCCTTCGGTTTGTACCATTTCCTCAGAAACAGACCTTGGGTCTTTGAAGTAATTAACCTGTTTGACCTTTTATTTTTCCCCTTTTTTTTTTTTTTTCTTTTTCTGATAGCTTAGCTAAAACCTCAGCTTAGTGGTAGGTAGAATAAACTGTATTTGATTTCATCTCAGGATGATTTTGATAACCATCTTTCTGATGAGATAAGGAGAAACAGCCTGAGAAAGAGATGTGTCTTGCCCACTTGAAGCTTTTCAAGTAAGCAGAAAAAACCATAGTCTTGCATCAGAAATGCAAAGAAAACAGAATTAATATCCAGTGTTCAGCTTCAGAGGCCTCAAGCTTAAAAAATTTAGATCAGGGCTCTGTAAGAGTTATACCCATCAAACATTTGCACTCTTTAAATCAGTTTGACACGAGCAGCAGTTCTGTTTCCAAGACCCTGAGGAATCAGACTGGTGGATTCCCACATCCCTTAGGACACACTGTGCTGTTCACCAGTCTGCCTGTGCAGAAGGTCAAGTAATATGCAGTGAGGGGCTTTCCTAGCCAATATTGATCATTTCTTTTTCCAGTTCCATTCCTGTAATTAGTAAAGGAAGCTTTTTACAAATTTTTACAATTTGTTTCCAGCAATGCTTTTTTTTTTTTTCCCTGGACATAAGTTTACTGTTTAGATGTATTTAAGAATTTTAATGTTTTTGCCACTTATTGCAGCCAAAGTTACTGGAAATCTGTGCCATGCCACTGCCCTCCCAGACCAGCTATACAGAGACAGCAATCAGGCATTGTGGATGCTAAAAAGGAACTAAATGTTCCAAAATATAAATAATGGAGCAGGTTTCTGGGCTGCAGTTTCCGTTTCTGATATATTGGCATTTCTAAAATTCATATTTAAGCTCATCCAATCATAGCCCTTCCTTCTAAATTGAATTAATTACATGCTCATTTCCAGGAAACATTTAAAATTGACTCCTGGGTTTTTTATCACAATAATAAAAGTAGGTTTAGACCAGCCTGTTAAATTAGTGATATACTTTAACTGGATTGAATAATTTCAATGAATCAACAAATTTATTCAAAGCATACTCCAAGTTTTATCACCTTTGGAAACATTTTCAAAGGAAGGTGTCTGTGGGACAGAATGGAAAGAGGACAAGGGAAACAGAAGGGTAATGGAGAAGGTGAGAGAGAGATTCATCTTCACACCGTTGTGCTCTTTGAAATATCCCAGAAGTGGATTTACACTTTTTCCTCTTTTTACTCTGCATCCTAACACACGGTGGAAAAAAAACCCCAAGCCTTAAAAGCTTTCATAAAATAAACCCATCCTTCTCCAACCAGCACTATCACAAAACTCATCTCCTCAGACTATCAATATTTCATATTTTAAGATATTTAATATGTTAAGTGTAACATAAAGTTTAACTCCAACTGAAGTGCTTATGACACTCTTAACAAGGTGTTCCAAACTTTGCCATTACTGTTCTTGAAATTCATTACTTTCTCACAAAGCACTTCAGCTTTTACATTCCAACAGATGTGGAACATCAGAATCATTTCAGGTGATTCTGGCAGCTTTCAGGTGAAATACATCCGTGCCTTTTCAGAGGTTTTTGCCCTTAATTATCCAGTCTTGGTTATCTGTATGCTGGCTTTCACTTTGAAAACCTTGCACAGATGCAAAATGCAGGGTCTTTGAATGAGAAAGTCAAATTCAAAGGGGAAAAATGCAACAATGTAAAGTTATCATAATGTGATGTGTGTGTTGCAACTTGCCAAGATTATCACTTTCTGATATCCATCTTGTGGAGAAGTGTTTTCAGTAGATGGAATCAAATGCTTCCAAAGATGAGGTAAGAACTGTGCAGAAGACTGCAGGAAGTTAATTTGCTAAAGGTTTAAATTATTGTTCCAGTCTGTGATTATTAGGGCTTGGTTTAGTATCTTATTTTTCTAAAATATTTTTGATTGCTAGCCAGGACAATTCTGAGTATTCCTGTAATGTACATCCCTACATAGTTGCTGAGCCTTGTTAACATCTAACATCAGTAAAATCCTCAGGTATAAGGGGACCAGTTCCTTTATGGATCTTGACTAGCCATTTTTTAATTTAACTAAATATCCTCGTGCTTTAAACTTTGACAGAGGAGTACCAGAAGCTGGTAATGTATTTTTCGTAAATTGCTTACTGAAGGAAGTAATTTTAATATTTTCTTTTTTTTCTTTTTGTTTTCACAAAAATATGAGAGCTTTTTCAGGTAGTGATCATTCCACTGAGCTCATAGTCACACCTCACTTACAGCAACTTTTGCCTAATTCCTTTTGACTTGAGGAGTCAGCTGGACTCAGAAAGGCATTTTAAGTCTGTCTTATTCACCAGCCCATTCCTTTCCTGCCCAAGAATCTTGGTTACTTTTGGGATGCATCAACACACCCCTGTCTTCTGCTGATATTCCTCCTTTGAAAACCCTGTCAGGGACTTGCATTTACAGAATCACTAAATTGTGCAGGTTGGGAGGGGTCTTGGAATGTGTCTTGTCCAGCTTCTTGGGCAGAGAAAGTTCAACACTGACCTTGGAACAGTCATCTTAGTGCTTGACTGGCTGCACCTTAAAATCCTCCAAGTTCAGAGATTTCTCATGTCTTGGGGCAACCTCTTCCAGTGCTTAATTTCCCTCATGGTCTGAGACATTAATCACTTCTTGCCCACATGGGGGTTCATTCCAATATTTAATTTTTTTACTGAATTATCCTCCTTTTTTAATACCTCATTATATTTCTGTTATTCACTCCAAATCAACCCCTGCTTTTGTATCATCTGTTATACCACAGAGCATGGGTTTGAGTGTCTCTAATTATCAATGCCCACAAACTGCCTCGAAAATACTTTTATATTAACAAGCTAAATTAATAAACTCAAGAAAAAAAAATCCAGGTTTTTTTCTTAGACAGCATCACTGTCCTATTCCAGAGTGGGAATGACATCTGATCAGTATTTAGTGTGTCACACAGACATGGGATAACTGAACAAAATTGCTCATGTCTTTATATTCTCAAAGCATGATGTGCTTCAGGTCAGTGCTGTATAAAGGAGCAGTACTTCTGCCTGCTCTGCAGATGAGGAAGGCTTGAATCAAATGTGTTAAAAAGTAACCCACAGTCTTGCTATAATTTTCAAGTTATGGGTATTAGAACATTTTACCCCACCCACAGACATCTCAATGTCTGCTGTAAAACTGTAGGTCAGGTTTTGTCATTTTATGCCTCAACACAAAGCATATTCTGATTTGAAGTGTTAAAAGAACATTGTTTGTACTGTCAGGATTTTGTTTAGTGTTAGAACATCACACTGCTTGTACGACCATTAAGACCAACACTCATATAATTTTAGGGTCTTTTTGAATGGGTTCCAATTAGTATCATAAAGATAATCCTGTACCAGAGCTAATCCTA